ACGACGACGACGACGACGACAACGATTAGGACTGCTACTGCTGCTGCTGGTAAGACAGCTTCTACCAGGTGACTGGAGAAGAGTCGTTGGATCACCAAGGATTCGTGACTTGGCATGCGACACATGCTGCACCGCAACGATGGAAATGTGAGGTGTCAGTTGAACCGGAAGCGGAATTTCCAAAAGGCCCTTTGTAGGGACAACCACGTGTCCTGCACGAAAGGGCCTACCCGAACTCAACCTTCCACAACCAGGACCAGAACAACCAGCCTGCGCGTCTTACAAGTACCTGTATGTATGTGCAACGACACCCGCACACACGAAAGCTGAAGCATTACGTGTGTAGAGTAGTTCTTACTTCAGATAGCTCTTCGTACCTGCATTGGCATAGAGAGTGTCCGGTTATGCTTAAGCAGACCAGACCTACTTCCGAAACTCCAAAATCCTTATCAACGACATATGGCCCATACAAAATCAGCAAGTTACAAGAAGAACCCCTCTGTTGTCTTACAAAGATTGACAGCCTCGTCAAAGCTCTAGGGTGCCTTTGGGAAAGAGATCTGGGGCCGCCGCCACCGTGAAGCGCTCCCAGGACCAGCCGGAAGGGAACTCGTCCTCGAAGTCTCTGGTGCTGCTGCTATCCATATCGGCCTTCGTGGCGTAGGGCAGTGTAGGGTGTAGGGCTTATGTTCAGAAGGGATCCGACATGTCGAAGGATCTCGAACCTTTCTCTGGGTTCGGGAGTTTCTTTTTTTTGACGCGACGGAGTTGGGATCCCAAGGCACCGAGTTCGGCATTTCCAGCGGATTTGGGCTGAGCGAAACAGAAGAGGAGAGAGCAGCGACCCCATCGTCAAAGGTCGTGAAAATCGCCAGCCTCATCGTTCATCCGGAGATATCGCCTCGAGTTCGCATTGTACCTCGGAGCGTTATAAGGCTGTAAGGTGTTAGGGGCTCTCTCAGGGTTCAGGGCCTTAGCGTTCAGGGTTATCGGGCTTTGAGATTCAGAGCAGAAAATGGGGCGGGTGCGTCGAGGGCTTCCGTGATAAAGCTTGTCCTGGGCGCTCCTACCCCCAAAAACTCATACAGCATGGTCACCATGGTCTATCTCTGCCTTCAGAGATCTTGAAACCAACATGGAACACTATCTAAGACTATCTGGGCCCCTTTTGCCAGTGAAGCAGTGTATGGAAGGCACCTTCTTCGGTTCTACGATGGTTGTAGGTGGGCACAACAGCACTTTCCACTTCAAGTTTCTGAGTGAAGGCATTCCCTCTGATGCGAACCCTAAAGTCGAGCCTCAAACCCGGAATCCTACGCCCCCAAGCTTTCGGGTTTAGGGATTCGGGTAGAAGAGCTAGGTGGCAACACCTGAAAGGTCCAAAGAAGGTAGCTGCAGCGCCCGTGCGATGTACTGAAATCTCAACCCCCCGAAAGCCCTAAAAGAACGCTCCAAAGGGCGCCGAAGCCCGAGAATTTCTACTCCCAGGGGCCTAGAATTCAAAGTTCCCCCAGAAGAACTGTCCAAAAAGGCTCGGGGCACAAGGCGATGGTGCTGCCGGGGCGGAGTGCCGGAGGTGGAACTGCCACCGCCACCTTCGAAACGCACAGAGGGCGGGGTCCCGAGTTCTGAACGTTTTTTTCATGCCTAATATAATGTAAATGTAACATACTACAATAGAGGTGTAGGAACGTATAGTATGGTATGATACAGATGCAGTAGAAGCACTAGAAATAGAAATAGATTCAGTTGTGGGCATCATCATGCTGATCTCCCTGCCTTCCCCACATCTTCACCAGTGAAGCCTTGAAGAGCGAGGATGGCCTTCGCCTGCTTGTCTGGGGCATTTCCCTTTTGGTAGGCAATGTGGGCCAGGGTTCAGGATTTCGGGCTCAAGGCTTGAGGCCTTCAGGGCTTTAGGGTTTAGTCATTATAAGCGAAAACGGCACCCTTTGGGGCGTTTTGGGGGGATCTGGGAGCTCCTCTTGGAGCCGTAAGCACATCGGTGGCCTGACTGCGTTCAATGTTCTAGGATTCTGGGCGGTGGCTTCCAAGAACATAGACTCTAAATGGTACCGATGCTGATTGTAGAGGCAGCCCCAGGGCAGAAACCAAAAAAATCCCAAACACGGTACCCTAAACCTGATCCACTCCCCTCTAACGCCCCGAATCCTTCCACACATCAATGCCCACCTTGGTTTCTGCCGACACGAAAGGCATGGCCGTCAGTACGAGGGAAAACCTTGGTGAAGCGAAGGTTTAGGGTTTGGCGGTTTCCGAATAAGGGGCTGTTCAGGTGGCTAAGCCTCGGAGTCTAAGGCTTCGCAGCCAGTGTATTGAATTTTGGAGTGATTTCTGCAAGCTTTCTATTTCCCAGGGACAGGCCTCGCTGACGTGCAAGAGCCGAACTAGTTCGCTTGCGCTACGGACTACGTTACTGTCTTCTGTCCGGAGCCCTTGGCATGGCGATCGGCGGTCTCCGCAAAGCGACGCTGTCCGCGGGGCTCATCGGAGATGGCAGCGAAACGAACAACAAACGACCTAGGACCTAGAGGACCTAGGCACTTCGAGAAGGTTGGCACTTCACAGGCCTATCCCTAGTTGCACACGTGCACGACGCAGCAAGTCTGCGTCGTTGAAGCAATCCCCTAAACCTGAAACTCGTAAATCCTGAAAGCACGACATGCAGTCGTTGAACTGCCGACATTCTGCGAAAGCCTGAAGCTTCTTTATCTCCGCGGGCATCCCCGAAACCCTGAATTACAATATAACCCTGCACCTAAACAGACTTAAACTGTACACATCCCTAATCCCACATATGCCTCTTAGCCGGAGCTACAAGTATGGGATTTTCAACGTCGCTGACACCGTCAGGCCTACATCTTTCAAGGTCGAGATATGGTAAGCTCAGGCCTTATAGGGCCTTTAGGGGGTGCAGCGCTACAGCAATCCTACGCTCCTTCCAAACATCCAGACTCTCATGTAACTTGTGTGTGTGTGTGTGTACGTGTGTGTGTGTGTGTGTGTGTGTTCGTGTGTGTGTGTACGTGTGTGTGTGTGTGTGCGTGTGTACGTGTGTGCGTGTGCGTGTGCGTGCG